AATCTGCAAAAATGTCAACAATTCTGTGTTTTTCTGTCAATATGGGGTGCTGTGTGTACATTAATGAGGAAAAAAAATTAACTTAAATGATTTTAGCGAATGGCTGCAATATAACAAAGAGTGAAAAATTTAAGGGGGTCTGAATACTTTCCGTACCCACTGTATATATATATATATACTCAATACTTATGAATACAAATATTAAACTACAACAATGACGGTCACTGTTGTACTTCATAGAGTCTGATGTTAGCATGTTGCTAAGCTACTGACATTGTTCTGTAATAAGCATAAACACACATAAATACTGAATAAATAGTTTTCAATTAGATTACCTTTGTTATCAAAATAAAACAAGATAAAATAAAAGTCTAGCCTAATCATATTTTTTCTCAACTTATCATCTATCCATATTAGATTATTTTTTGTAAAGCATTCTGGGAATGTGTTATTCACAAATTGCACATGCAATATTCCCTTTCTTTAGAATTTGGCCAAAATTAGGTATAAGGCAGTATGTTTTCTGTTTGTGGCCATTTTCACATTGGGAGCACATCTATGATGCCTGGAGCAGAGCTAATTAATTGTTTTATCTGACTGCATGTCTTTGAAGAGACATATGGTCTAATCCAGTGGCAACAGCAGGTTTGATTATAACCCATAAATAATTCAGAGTGTGTGATGGGCAACAACAGATACAAAACCTGAAGAAGTTAGTGTTCTGTTGAGTTTAATGTAGACTCTCTAGCAGCGTTTATGACTCTTGTGTGGTGTTTACTGAGGGGAAAGAATGAGCCCTGCTTTGAGTACGTATTAAATCATTAAAGTATTTATTGGGTATAAGAGTGCAGATTTCTCTGGCAGCCCATCTGTTTCCCCTCAAGCACTTCTAAAACGAGAAAGAGAGAGAGAGTATGCTCATATTATTGCTCTTCTTTATCAGGCTGATGTGACCTGTGATTTGATGAGAGTTATGAGAGCAGGCTTATCCTCGTTCTGTCCCTGGGTAACAGCACTGATCTAATTTCACCACAGGAAGGAGGGATGATTTTGTTTTGTTCTGTTTATGACAGATGAGCAGGTGAGAGGGCAGGAAATAAATCGTCTAAATTAGAAAACAACTCAATAGGCACAGCAAACACAAACAGAGGGATGCGATATAGAACAGGTCTGGAATACGAAAGGCGGATCAGGGCTCTGCGGTAGGATCAGGTTAAGAGATTTGATGAAGGAAGAGAGGTAAACACATCATAAAAGAAAACCATAAACCATAAACCTGTCCAAACAAAACCATCCCAGAGGAAATGTTTATTGCTCAGAGGTTTATTCTTTTGTAGCTCAGGAGATTCAGTTCTCAGTTGTGTTTTAATATAAGTATCAGGATGCTCTCAGACGTTTCTGCTAAAATTAATCTTAGTCCACTCAAATTAAACATTTGTTGACCAAGAATAAGATTAAATGAATATAGATAGCATACCTCAGACCATTTGGCCTGAGAATTTAATGAGAAACATTAAAAATAGTTTTTAGGATATATGACTTCTGCACACTTTGATATATTGCCTTTTTCGCCGGGGTGGAGTGCACCCTCAGTTTCTTCACTCGCTAAACAGGGGACCTTCAACAGAGAGTGATCCACCGCCGCTTCAGATGGCATTACTCAACGTGCGGTCTTTGGTAAATAAGACTTTCATTTTACATGACTTTTTTATCTCGCGGAAACTGGATTTTTGGTTCATTACGGAAACATGGACTAAAGAGGGGGACTTGAGTCCTTTTTATAAACAGGGGACCTTCAACAGAGAGTGATCCACCTCCGCTTCGGATGGCATTACTCAACGTGCGGTCTTTGGTAAATAAGACTTTAATTTTACATGACTTTTTTTATCTCGCAGAAACTGGATTTTTGGTTCATTACAGAAACATGGACTAAAGAGGGGGACTTGAGTCCTTTTTCCGAACTAGTTCCTCAAAACTGCTCATTTTTTTAACTCTTTGCGATCCTCTGGTCGTGGTGGAGGTCTGGTCGTTGTTTTTAAAAACTCTTTCTGCGGCCGCATTATTTCGACTGATGTCTGTAAGAGTTTTGAGGTTCAATTGTCTCTAATTGATTTGGCAAATCCAGTAGTGTGTGCTGTTGTTTACCAACCCCCACAGTTTAATAATGCTTTTTTGAGTGAATTTGCAGACTTTTTGGGGAATGTAGTAACTATGTATGATCAAATTTTATTGCTTGGGGATTTTAATATTCACATCTGTTATCCTGGTAAGCCGCTATCTAAGGATTTTTGTAATCTTATGGATTCCTTTAGTTTTTCTCAATGGGTGCATAGTTCTATGCACATTCATGGTCATATTTTGGACCTGGTATTTTCCCATGGTTTTTCCATTATGGACATGGAGATTGGAAACATTGGTTTCTCTGATCACAATTCTGTGACTTTCACCACTGCCCTTCCTCGTCGACCTAGTACTACATCTGCTCAGGCCCGCTGGGTTCGCTACTTTTCTCCTACAGCCCGCGAGGATTTTGCTACTACTTACAAGACAATTGATGAATTGTCAATCACAAACCGGTTCTCAGAAAGCTCTGATGCTGATGCGTATTTTAAGTTTTTTAGTAACACCTGCCTGAGCATCGTTAACAACATTGCTTTCAACTTTCTGTCTTTTTTTGTTGAGAAGACAACAAGGTCAAGACCACAATCACTGGTGACCTCTCATGCTTTTCTTGAACTAACTAGGAGCTCTTCTATTTGGAGCATGTTTGATTTGATTACCCTTCAGACCTGTAAAGATATTTGTGGCGAGGGGGGCGTGGTTCAGCGAAGTCTGCAGCAGGAGAGAGGGACGGGATACGAGCGGTGAGTAAGTAGGTCAAGTGCAAAATGATGAACACCTGTGTCTGATTGCAGTAATTGGCCTGGAGAGACCCATTAAAAGGCAGACTGGAGAGCGGGGAGGAGAGAGAGAGACGGGGACTCGTTGCCATCGCTCAGCCAGAGAGAGAATACCTGAGGAACTGAATTTATGCCATTGGCAGGGTGCGAACGCGCTGGAAGCGCTACTTTTGATTTTGTTCAAGTTTGAGTTATTAAATAAAGATCCACGAGTCTCCAAACGCCCACCTGGTTCACTTCCTTCCTTCCTCCTTACGAACTGTGGTACACTGGTGCCGAAACCCGGGAAGGAAGTGATAACGCCACCGCCATCATGTCATCTCCGTCAAGTTCGCCGTTTGCGGAGGTCATCCACTCGCTCGCGAGACTCCATCAAGAACACCATCAAGCGCTGCTGGACATGAGGGAGGATCAGGAACGTCGATTCCAGGCCCTCGTCCAGACGCAGCAAGAGGACCACATGCCGTTGAACAAGTTGGGCCCGCAGGATGATCCGGAGGCCTTCGTTGACCTCTTTGAGAGGACCGCGGAGGCATGTGGGTGGCCCCGGACGAACTGGCCAGTGCGTCTCATCCCGCTACTTTCAGGGGAGCACAGATGGCTGCGCAACAAATGGCTGTTGGCCGGGGGAAGCGACGTCGACCAGATCATCGACCGTGTGGTGCTGGAACAGTTTGTCACACGGTTGCCGAAGAACACCGCGCAGTGGGTCCAGTGCCACCAGCCGGCGTCGCTGGACCTGGCCATTCAACTGGCGGAGGACCAGATAAGTTAAGTTAAGTTAACAACTTTATTAATCCCACAAGGGGCAATTAAAGTAGGGTAGTAGCATCACACAACAACTTAATACAAACATAAGATATTACCTAGACAATACAAAGAAATAAATAAATAAAAACACAACCCAACATGCTTCATAATAAATTCCATACAAAAAAAAAAAAAAAAAAAAAAAAAAAA